TATACAGTATATGTTTCTGTGTGTTAACTTTTAAGTATGCATTATCCTCCAAAAGTTCTACTTAAATTGGCTTATAGGTAAACATTCAAGACATTACTTCAAATGCTTGTGGTTCATACAGCTTAACAATAGGCTGATTTAAATCACTTAATAAGCATAAAGATGTCTTTAAAGTTGATAAGCATTTCCACCCAGGTTCTTAGGTAACCAAGATAATATTAAAAAATCAGGGGCTGGGGCTGGGGATTTAGCTCAGTGGTGCATGCAGACACCTGCCTCCCAAGCACAAGGTCCTGAGTTTGATCCCCAGTACCAAAAAAAAAAATTTTTTAAGGTTTTCTTGGTCAAAGATAATATATATAGCTTTTTAAGAGTATTAACTGTTATGATGAGTCATTTAAAGTAATTGTTTTTGGCTACAATTAAAAGGTTAAGTTTTCTATCTAAAACAATATGGTTTTCTAAAATACTGAAATGCTCTTGGTTAAACTTACAAAACTAGATTTAAAGGCAAAGGTTCCATATTTTACTAAATAAGTTTCTCGTGTTCTTTTTCTTTTCTTTTCTTTTCTTTTTTTGGTATCAGGGATCAAACTCAGGACCTTGCGCTTGGTTGCAAGGCAGGCACCCTGACACTGAACTAAATCCCCGGCCCCTCTTGTGTTCTAACTGTTGTTACTAAAAAGTGAGCTTTAAGAGTTAAATAATATTTAAATGTTAACCTATGAAGTGTTTTCAATAATCAGTTCATGATTGTTTAAATAAACAGCTATTACCTTAGGTTATGACATAACAAATATTTGGACATGTATGTATGTATACATCTAAAAATAAGCTATGCTGTGAGTGTAAGCTTTAAAGTTAAATTTATAGAGTTAAGACTACATAATTTTAATACATACAAAGTAACTAATAGGTTCTCTCTTTTGTATAATACAAGTTTAGACTTTAATGATATAAAATGATCAAAATTTGACATCTCTTTAAATTTGGTTCTGACATTTAAACTTATCCTTAATTGTGTTCCAGGTACTTGTAATAAAATGTACCTGCCAGCCCAACATGATGCAGATATGTTTTCAGGCTTGTGCTCGTGTGACTGTTATGTAATTGTGTTATAACAGTTAGAGATACCTAAACACTGTGTAGTCCAGACAATGTCACTCTAATGATTAGAGATTGAGCATTAATAATTTGTAAAATACATCTATAAAGAAGTACATTCTACTTAAATGTCATTCTGATAACAAAAAACTGATTAATAACAAATTAGATAAAAATTTACATCATTTAATATTTTATAATTAGATGAAGATAACTGACTAAAAAGTTATTCTATACTGGGATGAACACCTAAGTGTTTCAGAGATAGTGGCAAAACTTAATGTTCTAATAATGTCATCATGATTGTCATACTAAAATGCTATGTTCTCCTTGATCTCAAACCTTCTCTATAAAACTTTATCCATTAGCATTCTACAAAAATTTGACTTCTAAGATGACCATGATTGGTAAAAAAAATAACAGTTCCTTAGTCATATTATATATTTTAATTGTTGTCCTGGATGTTCAACAACTGAGGTTTAGAGACCAGAGCTAAAAAGATAACTGGGGTGAATAAAGAAAATGTGGTTTTTATATATAATGGAGTACTACTCTGCCATAAAGAAGGATAAACTTGAGACACTTTTAGGTAAATGGATACACCTTGAGACCATACTCTTAAGTGAAATAAGTCACACATGTTTAAATATCACATTGTTTATCTTGTGTGAGAAACTGAAAGCACAAATAAGAACCAAAATGGATGACAGATATTGGGAATTAGGAAGAAAATGTTCAAATGGGAAGTGAACAAGGGAGGGGGGAGAAGAAAGGGAAGGAAGAGAAAAGAAGAAAAAGGGAGTAGAAGGAAAAAAGGGATGAAAGAAGGGGAGGGGAATGGGGAAAAAAGAATCAAGATATGTACAGGTACATAAATACATAAATGTGATCATTATGTATATCAATAAAATTAATTTATAAAAAGATAACTGGGCAAAGAAGACAGCCAATATTTTGATACTGCCCTCCAAGATTAATAAAGACCCAATACATGAAGAGACCTTTTTACAGGATCCTTCAACTTCAGTGTGTCACCTAATCTCCTGAACAGGGAGATTGTTGGACCCCAGAAAACAAGAGTCAACCAATGTACAGTGCACCAAAAAGGAAGGTCATCAGAGAGGAAAAAGTCTCCCAGAAAGCTACATGGTCCAGTAAGACCATGATCCATTCTGGCAGCTGACACTGACAGAAGAATTGAGAGGCTCTATACATGGTTCCAAAAGTAATGCCCAAGGTGACTTAGCTGACCTTGACATATAGCAAGAGGTTAATTTTAATTAACACAGGTCTAACTTTAACTTGGTCTTAAACACCTAACAAAAAATATATAAAAATAATGCCATAATAATAAAGGCTAAATATAAAAAAGGGGCTCCAATCACTGACCCCTGCTGTCAGTTTCCAGCTACATCTGTAACTGACCACTGTTATGGTTCAATAAGGCTAAAAAACTACAGTTTTTTAAAAAGCTCAGCAAAAATCTTTAAATTCCTTAGTTAAAATTGTCTTTCAAAACTACGAAACTATTTTCTTGCATCTAAAAGTAGAGAGACTTAAACTTATAGATAACCTCTACCAATAAAGAGGCCTAAGGGCCAGCTAGTTACACTTGCTATTTCAATCCCTTAAGAACAGTGTCTAGATGTGGCTCTTTTCCCAATCTGTCTTTCCATTCTAGTGCTTATGCTTTGGTTATGTGTGTTTTAATCTCTTAAAAAATTTTTGTTTATTCTTGTATAGAGGCTGCCAAACTCCACATAATCATAGAGATAAAACCAACAACAAATGTGCTAAACTCCATATGGCAAACTAGATTGACTTTTTTTTTTTTAACACAGGGTCTCACTATGTAGCCCAGGCTGGCCTTGTACTTGAGGCGATCCTCAGCCTCTCGAACGCTGGGATTACAGGCATGTGCCACTAAACCTGGCATAGATCAACCTTCTAAAGAGTTCATAACTGCTAACCCTCAAAATGACTTCTACCCAAGGTCCATTAGATTACCTCTCTGGAAAAGGTCCCTGGCTTCAGTCTCCCCTACACTGATCCTTCTCAGCTCAAAGCAGCTAGATTAAAACTACACTCATTCTCCCCTAACCACAGTTAGGGATACCTCTTCAGAGGGGGTACTATTATAGGCAGATAAATTAAATAGAAACTAATATATAGCTAGAGAGAGACCGGGCTATCAAAGAAGTCAATAATAAAGACATCAAAATTGTGCCTGGAGGTGCATCTAAAAGAGACAAGATCCCAAAATAAAGTCACAATGGCCAAATTCACATACTTCCCTAAGAGATAAACAGAACTTGACACTATGCTATAATTAATACCACCCAGTATATTAAGTCCAAATATACATCAGGCACCCAGGTGGGTGACCAGAGCATCCATACCCACCCCTTCCCAATAATGGCTTTGTTCTTTCCATGTACCCTTGCTACATAAACTGCTTCCCTATTAGATCATACTAGCTAGCAGTTATACTTATAATCCTATAGGTTGATTATAGTTTGACCCACATTATACCCATATTGTGACTTTGCTATATAAATTACCCCCAATAAAGAGTCTCAATAACAACTCAGTCAAGACACCTCCTGTCTCTCAAAAGCTACCTCTCAATAAACCTTTTCTACTCTTAACCTCCACTGTCCATCTGACACATCTGACATATAACAGGTTGAAAGTTATATTTCTCCTATTATCACTTGGATTAAGGGCATGCATTACCATACGAGGTATTTCTGTATTTCTTTAGACAAACATTACTTTTCTGCAAGTTAAACCTCAAAGCAATTTACATGTATTGTGTTAGTTGATGCACAGAATTAAAGAATAAGGAGGGGTCCTTATATATTCTGATGTTATTGAATATCACAAGATATCTGGTTTCTATAAATGTAAAGTTGTCCCCTCCCACTCTCTACTGGGGAGTGAACTTAGGGAATGCTGAGCTGGACTCCAGCCCCACTCCCATTGAGGATCCAACTCAGGACCTTGGGCTGCCCTTTTTTGAGAAAGGCTTTCACTAAATTGCTCAGGCTGGCCTCCCACTTGCAAATCTCCTGTGCAGCCTTCTTAGTAGCTGGGATAACAGGCATGCACCACAATGCTAGTCAAGAAAGATTATTTAGCAGTTCACATTTTTAGGTGCAGCTTCTCTTTAGAATTTAGAATCCTAGACAAAGGGACAGGAAGTAATCGTGCAAAGGTTTATGCTCAAAAGAGTGTCCACTGTCACATGCCCACGATCCGAACAAAGGTAGGGTGCACAAGCAGAAAAAGGCTCAACAAAGATGGAACCAAAACACTGAGCGAACTTCCTTATCAGGCCCAAGTGGACAGGGTTCTGTCTAATTGGTTGCTGTCAATCTGTTTTTGTTTTTTTTTAACCGGCCCATTCACTAGCTCCTATGTCAAGTGACTTCATTCTGGTTTGGTCTGGTCTATTGCAATTCAGTCAAAACAATTGCTCCCCATATTTAACACCATTGATTTTTCCTTCGTGGCGTGTCCCCCAAATAGTTATAAATTCCTATTACAAAGGGACTGTGCTATACTATTTGCAACTCTTTGGTGTCCCACAATGCTGTACACATGCTCAACAAATCTAAGTTACAGTATTTAGTAAGAATCAGTTGGAAGTTGTAGAATGGTCTAGCCTTGGCGCCTGTGTCAAGCCTTTGTTGTTTCACTGACGGTGAAGCAAGAAACGTATCCTCTCTGATCTTCGGTTTTCTGGCTCCAAAGAATAAAGTTTTCAAAATGTTAGAGAATGGAAAGAATTACCATTATTGGACGCATTTTCCCTTCTAGCTTCCAGTCGTCAAGTTTCCTAGGAAGACCCCGCCTCCAGCGGGGGGCGGGGGGCCATAGTTGTACAGGGACGCCATCTTTGTGTGGGGCATCCCTCGTTCTCCCGCCATGTTTGTGTGGGGCAGCGGTTCTGTCGCGCTGTCCCGGGGACTCCGCAATGGGTCAGCCGGAGATGGATCTGGTGAAGAGCTCTCGGTGTCTGCTCTGGCTGCTGTTGCTACTCCTAATCCCCGTGCAGGGCCGCCAGAAGGAGTCAGGTGGGGCCCGGCCCTCCCCTCGCGGCTGGCGCCCAGGATGTTGTAGCCGCTTAACGCAGAGCTGCAGTCCTCCGGATTGGGACTTTGCGGGGAATGGGAAGTCACCGGGTCGCCGCTAGCACCCCTGGGGAAGGGGCGCGCGTGTGTGTTGCCAGAAGAGACGGAGGAGGGTTAGTGTCCATGCCTGTTAAGCGATCCTCTTTATGGGGCTTAATTTAAGTAAAAAGTGACGGTCTGTCACAATCCTGTTTATCGCTAGTCTTCTAGGGGCCGAGCATTAAGCTTGCATTTCCAATTTCTTGGACACCTGATGGCCCAGGCGGAGGAGCAGACTTGATTTAAGCACTGGCGATTTGCAGAAAGAATCTTCGTGGCTTTCGTTTCCACTAGTGGAATGGGAAAGGGATTTCTTGTAGTTTGAGTCTGTTGGGGCTGGCTGGCTTCCTGCCTGCCTGCTTGCTGCTAGCATATAAAAATGCTCCGGGGTATTTTTTTTTTTAACTCTCCTTTCACTTTTTGAAGGTTCAAAATGGAAAATATTTATTGACCAAATTAACAGGGCTTTGGAGAATTATGAGCCATGTTCAAGTCAAAACTGCAGCTGCTACCAGGGGTGAGTTCTTTGATCTGTCAACGAGAGCTAAATTCTTGTCGCAAGAATAGAGATAGCTGAGAGACCTAGGTTGCAGAGGTTAGAGCCTAACATTTCTTCCAATAGTCAAAGGTGCCTGAGGCGATTCTCCTAATTCTTTGAAATGGAGATTCCCTGGAATAGGAGAGGCCCCTTGGTCTTGGCACTAGGACAACTCCCTGTGAGATTTAGTCCATGTGCTTGGCTGTTTTTCCCATTGATGGAAAGCTTCCTGAGGTCTAGGTCTTTGTCTTTTTTTTTTTTTCTCCCAAGACTCCTCAACCCAGGGCCTTCACACTGAGTTACATCCCCAGCACTTCTTGTGTTTTTAATTTGAGACAAAGTCTTGCTGGGCTGGGCTGGAACTTGCAGATCCTCCTCCCTCAGTCTCCCAGAGTGCTGGGATTACAGTTGCACCACGTTGCCCAGCCCAGGTCTGTGTCTGTGTTGTATCCCCGGTACTGGCCCTGAGTAAGTGCATACAATAAATACTGTTGAAGGAATGAACAGACTTAATGGTGAATCAAATACTTTCTTGTTGGTTATTTTTAAACTATGCAGTTAGGTCTGGGACTTGCTGTGGTACAAAGATAACTACGTACATTGAAAACAGTTGGGTTCTAGTCACAGTTCTCCCTGATTAACGCTGTGGCGAGCCATTTACCTTCTCTGGTCCTCAGATTCCTCATCAGCTAAACAGTCCTTGTAGCTCCCTAGCCTGTTGTTGTTTTGATGCCTCAAAAATTCACCTGATGCTTATACTTATTTTTTCAATAAATTTTATTTTATTTTATCCCATTCCCCCCCTCAAGTTCCCTCCCCTCCCTTTGTACAGAAGCTTTGTCTTATTGAAAACTTATTCTGTACTGAGCTTTACAAGAGATACAAAATAGTTTATTTTCTGTCTGCTGCTAGCAGGCTTCTTGGTTATGTGTATATGGAAGAGAGGCAGGGTTTAACTGTGAGATTCATAGAAAGGGATGTTGTTAGGGCTGCGGTGCTGGGACATGGATGTAGCAGGAATATCAAGGGGGAATTTGGATCAGACAGACCAGGAAGGGGCAGTCCAGATAGAGGGAAGAAGACATAGACTTGTCCTGACTTTTTGTGACTTTGTTGTGTTTGATATTTTTTGATAACTCATGGTGTTTCTGGGAATAGTTCCTTGTTTATGCCCTCTTGCCCTGTGCCTCTGGCAGTACTGGGGAGTGAACCCAGAACTTCATGCTGGGCAAGTGCCCTCCCACTGAGGTATACCTGCAGCCCCGACCACCATTCTTTCTAGTACTAAACACAAGTGCACTCCTGGCCTGCTTTCCCTAAGGATTCCCATTTCTTCACAGTGTCATAGAAGAAGATCTGACTCCTTTCCGAGGCGGCATCTCCAGGAAGATGATGGCCGAGGTAGTTAGCCGAAAGTTAGGAACCCACTATCAGATCATTAAGAAAAGATTATACCGAGAAGATGACTGCATGTTTCCCTCCAGGTAGGACTTGGCAGGAAGATGTTATCATCTGACATTATTACCTGCAGGCTACTTGATACTGCTCTTAGAAACCAATTGAGTGGACTAACTAGCAAATCCCTACTCACATTTCAGGGGGAATACAAAATACAGTAATAATAAGTTCTTCTCCTTGCCTGAGAATTTTTCTTCCCAGCTCCTCTATCAAAGCCTGTCTCCTTTTTCTTCATGAGGCTGTTACTGGCTGTGGTTCTGGCCCTTCTTCTCTTCCTTCCTTGGCTATAGTAGCTGCAAGACACAGGCTGATGAGATCTAGCAGGGTGAGCTGGACTGAAGGAGGAAAAGAAGCCTAGGTATATATTGAGTGTCTCTGAGTCACTAAGTTGCCTGGGAAGAGCTGGAACTTGCAGATTCTCCTGCCTCAGCTTCTCAGAGTGCTGAGATTACAGGTGTGCACCCACATACCTGGCCTAGACTTATTGATCTTTGCCAGTTTGATTGGTAAAATCATCATCTAGTTTCATTGAAATTTCTTTATCATTAATATAGCTGAGTATGTTTATTAACCATTGATATTTTGTAGTTGTCTCCCTATGTATAAAAATTTTAATTAATTTAAGACTGTCTTATTATGTAATCTAGACTGGCCCTGAACTTGTACCCCAGCCTCAGCCTCCTGAGTTCTGGGAATATGGGCATGTACCATTATACCTGGTTTATAAAACTATTTTTTAGCTAGTCATTTCCATGATGCCAGAAAATTTTGATTAAGCCTTAGAATGCTGCCATCATGTAGTGTTAGTGAGGACCTCAAAGGATGGGGCAGAAACAAGCTAAACCATCAGTGTTTCTTTTCTTTCAAGAAATCCTCAGGAGCTTGATGTGGTGGTGCATGCCTACAGTCCCAGCACTTTGGAGGCCAAAGAAGGAGGATTGCCACAAGTTTGAGACCAGCTTAGGCTACATAGTGAATTCAAGCCCATCCTGAACTACAAAACAAGATCCCAACTCAAAAACCAAAAAAAAAAAAATCTTCTGAGGATCCCAAGGAGTTCAGTCAGAAAGCAAAGTTATAGTCTTCATATAAACACTTTTTCCTCCCTTGCAGAACTAATTTTAATAGTTTTTCTGTTTCTAAGTTGATTTTGAAATGAAAGACTTTCTTCATAAATTATTGAGACAATGTAGAAATAAAAGTGGTGTCTGTGTTGATCAGCCTCCTGTTACTATGACAAAATCCTTGGACTAATTAGAAATAGGGAAGGTTTACTTTGGCTGACAGTGCTGATGTTCCAGACCATGTTCCCCAGGCCCCATCATCAGTCTGGACCTGTGGTGAGGCAGCACATCATGGTGGGAGCACATGGTGGAGCAGGTGGCTCACGTCATACCAGCTGGGAGGCAAAACAGAGAGAGCAGGACACCATCATGGTGTCCCACAGTCTCCTTCAAGGGCTGTCCCCATGGCTTGGCCTCCCATGAAGGTCTGACTCTTAAATAAGTTTTCTACCACTTCCCAATAGCACCAAGATGAGGATAAAGCCTTTAACACACAGGCCTTCCAGTGGACATCCCAGATCCTAACTATAGCAGTATGTTTCTGAGAAACAAAGCCCAAGGAACACAATTAGAAAATCAGCTATTCCAGTTCCTATCAGAATGCATACCTTTCCTACTAAGTAAACTATTTCACATAAGGGAAATAAAAAACTGGAAATGAATGGAGAAGTAGTAGGAGTAGCAGTAATATTTCCTTCAAAGCTGAGATGATTTATATGGAAAATGTTATTGTGTTATGGGCTGGAGCGGCTTAGCTATGAATTATAACACACATTATAGAAAAATGGATTAGACCCTTTAGAAGTATTGTTTTCAGGAGACTGCAGCAGGCTGATGATCCCAACACTGGCTTGTGTCACTTTAAGACAGAATTGAAATCCTTCTTTGTTCTAGAGCCTATAGGAACTGCTCTGGTGACTGTTTTCTGGTTGGCAGGTGCAGTGGTGTTGAGCACTTTATTTTGGAAGTCATTGGGCAGCTCCCTGACATGGAGATGGTGATCAATGTACGTGATTATCCTCAAGTTCCTAGATGGATGGAGCCTGCCATCCCAGTTTTCTCCTTCAGTAAGGTAAGTACAAGAAGAGTCACATGGGGGTGGGGGACAGAAAGTAGTCCTCTAGGGTATTAGGAAGGGATTATTGTCCTGAGGTAGAGTTTGGTGAGTAATGGTGAGGATAAAATCTGAGGTCCAGGAATGGGCTTGTGTCCCTCTTAGTTCACAGTGGTTGAGCAGTAAGACTAAGGATATGGAGTGAGGCCATGTAAGTACTGCAAGTTTCCTTAAGTGCCTGTAGGGCTAGGGGTGGAAGCTAGGGACTAAGAGGACCAAAGAACCGGCAAGGCCTTCAGGTGGGGGTCTAAGATCCTCCAGAGCATCCAAGAAAGGTCATGAGCTTGGAGTTAGGGAACACTCTCACTCAAAAATATTTGTAGAGCTAGGGTGGTAGAATGCTTGCCTAGAATATTCAGGGTCCTGGGTTTGATCCCCAACATTGCAAACAGAATTTTTTTGAGCTCCTATAATGAGATATCAGTTATAGTGCTAAATATCATTTATCTTATCTAACACTGCATCCCAAGGGCCCATCAGAGCTAAAAGTGAATCTGAAGGTACTAGATAGTGCCACATGGTTTGTATCCAAACAGTGTACTGCAGAGGTACTGGGATAGTTACTATGGAGGGCAGGAGTAGCCAGGATACGCCTGTGGGCTTAGAGACGTTGGGACATACAATAGTCAGTCTCAGGTGTGTGCAGATAATACACTGGCAGGGATGGGCCCTGGTTCCCCAGAGACTAGATATGAAAGCATTGAGGGGTGGAGATAGGAAGGTTAAAAGACAGTGGATGGGGGAAGAATAGATTTGGGGAAACTCCATTGGAGTTGGGAAAAGGAACACCATCTCTGATTTGGTTTTTCCAAAGCAGAGAGCCTTTTAATTCCCACCTTTTCTTTATCATAGTTTACTTTCTCTCTAGCCTTGTTTATTTCCTGTGTTGCAAGTGGGCTGAGGCCACATTTGTATTGTGTTGCCTATGATTAGCCTCATTTCTGAAAAGGGCTTAGTCCCATTGTTTGTCCTGAAACTCTCCCAGAAGAACAGATAGAGGCTCCCATGTAAGTCAGTAAGGACTTTGTGTCTATTACTTAATCTGTTATTTCTGTGAGTAATGAAGTATGACTATCAATATACTTTCCTTTCATTTTTACTTGCGTTTTACTTTTTTAAATCAGTGACTCCTGGTTTCCAAGGCATTTTAGCCTGTCAACTTTGTAGCTAAGTGTACACTTTGTATTTAACACCTGTTAGATAGGTAGTGCTTGATGAATCACATATTTTTAAGGTTTGAGAGAAGTCAAACAGCATATTGTACAAGTAATTTCAATGAAGAAATGGTAGAGATAAGAGTTTGTCAGTGGCCTGATGTTTAATAGGAGTGACCATAAAAAGCAACAAATGATTTCAAACTTTCTTCAAAAGATATGTGGTAATACATTTTCTCCCCATTCTGCTCATTGGCACTTCTGACCCCTGTTGATGAATAGCCAGCTATTATGGCTTTTGTCTAGATGTCCCCCCTAAAGCCTCATGCAGTCTTAGGTGTGGCTTTTTCAGAGGTGGCTGGACGTAGAGTGTTTAAGACTGGGATTGATTCATGGTGCAATGCTAGGCTCAAGGGCACTAGGATTAAGGATATGAGTGCTATCTGCCCTAAGTAGCCTGCGTAAGATAAAAGGGGCAGAAAGACGCTGTCAAGTCCCTTGTTGCTTTTGCTGTTTTCTGCCACCATGAACTGTTGCCCCCCTGCCATGTGCCAGCCTGCTTTGGAGCCAGCCAATTATGAACTGAAACCTCTACGAACTGTAAACTAAACCTTTCTCTGTAAATTTGAATATCCCACATTTTGTCTTAGCAATGAGAGAAAAGTAACTAACACACCAAGGATTTAGTGATCAACCAGTATGAACTTAATAGTGCCACAGTGTTAGGTAACACTACCTAACAATTATTAAGTACTTACTATGTGCCAGATATTGTCCCAAGTTTTTACATGTGTTAAGACATTTATATTAAAAATAGGCTGATAGATAAATGGCATTATTGATATTATTTTCCACAATACCATGATAAGGAAACTGAAGTATAGAGAGATTAACTCACCTAGAGCTCTAAAGAGATGGAGTCCATTTTCAGACTCCTGATCTGTCTCAAGAGCCACACTCTTGACTATCCCACTCTATTTCCTAGTTCTTGCTCTCAAAACAGCCACTAGGCTGGGTGTAGTGTCATATGCCTGTAATCTCAGCACTCTAGGAGCCTGAAACAGGAGGATTACAAGTTCCAGCCCAGTCTGGGCAATTTAGCGACATAATGAGACCCTGCCTAAAAATAACAGAATAAAAGAAGTCTGGCGCTATAGCTCTGAGTAAAAGCTCTGAGTCCATTCTCCAGTACCAACACAAATCAAAGAAACAAACAAACAAAAAACAATGCTAAGAAATAACTAAGAACAGGCAAGGCACTGAAAACTCCAAGGGTAATAGCAGTTAAACAAGGAGAGAACTTTGTGATTATTCACAATTGGGCATATTATTTCCATAAACTAAAAACCTGAATGGTGTATATCCTTTAGAAAAACAGAATTTTGGGGAACTGAAAACGTTGAGCTTTAATATGGTTCTAAATTCTAGGATTCAGTGGGCCTGCGAATTTTAACCTTATGGTCACTTTTGTGTTTTAATGAATAGATAGTGGGCATTGCACAATAGAGGAACTATATCTTTGGCAAGTTGGTGTTCTAGCAAGGCCTTTGTCCATATCCTGTGTTGTGAGTGCAGTTTGCCTCTTCTTGCTCTATTCCAAGACTTATTTGTAATGGCCTTTCTGTTTCTGACAAAGACATCAGAGTACCATGATATCATGTATCCTGCTTGGACATTTTGGGAAGGGGGACCTGCTGTTTGGCCAATTTATCCTACAGGTCTTGGACGATGGGACCTCTTCAGAGAAGATCTGGTAAGGTAGGTCCCATAGAGAGGTTTTATTTTTTCCTTTTGCAGGCTTTCTTGAAGTAAGGAGTGGAATAGAGGCAACATTTACTTTACAATAACTGATTTTTAAGTTAAAAATAAAGGGTAGAAAATTGTTTCTAGCGTAAGAAATTTTGAGTGTATATAAAAGTATTTGCATATCCATAAATAGGGTAGAAGAGTCTTTCTTAAACTGTCAGCAGTGTCTCTGTGGGGAGGATGATGGGAGATTTTTAATTTATTTAAAAAATTTCCTGTACTTTAAAGATACTTTAAGAGGAAAATAGATGACCAGGTTGTGAGAGAGGGTGGAAAGTTTCTTGGAATTTTTCTCATAGTTATCTCACAGTTATCTCCTGGTTATCTCAAGTACATGCTTACTTCAGGCTGGGGATACTGGTGCATACCTATACTCCCAGCTCGCAAAGCTGAAGCAGAAGGATCACTGAGAGTCCCAGGCCAGCCTGGGCTACATAATAAGACCCTGTCTCAAAAAAGCAAAAAACAAAATTAAATGCAAGATTATTTCAGATCCTCTTTGTTTATGACTGAAACAGGCTTTAATTTGTTAACTGACTCTTTCCTGGTGTGATTTCAGAATATAAGTGGTCTGGTCATCTAAGCTGAAGGTGTGCTGTAGCCAGCTGCATTTTACAGACATGATTCAGGAAGCACTGGTGCTTAATGAAGCCAGGCATAATGGCACAGTCCCATAATCCCAGAACTCTGGAGGGAGAGGCAGGAGGATCACAAATTCTAGCCCAGCCTTGGCAATTTACTGATTTTTGTGTGTGTCAAGAAGGGGTGTAGGAGTGCGGGAATAGGGGGATGTAGCTTGGTGCAAAGGCCCTGGGTTCAAGCCCTAGTACCACAAAAGACGAAATCAAAACCAGAAAACCCAAAAATCAGCATTGGTGCTGGAACACAGCCCACGTAAATCTTCTCTGGAGTATAAGGACAGCAAGAATTTAATTCAAATTTCTGTAAATATCTTTCACTTCTATAAGTGTGGCTGGAGATTTAAACATTAAGAGTATGTCTTCTTCCTGAAGAAACACATGGGGCCCGATCCCCAGTAGCAGTTAAAGCCCTGTGGATAAATACGGGCTTCTTCTCCAGCAGCTATAATTTGGAAAATTTTTAAAATGTAAGTAAGTCTTTCTTTTTATAGAACTAGATCTGGAAAATGTCTTTGCCCAACTATTTGAGGGATGTGGGAGTGAAGGCCCAGAGAAAGTCAAGTGACTTGCCCAAGGTCAGGGGCAAACCTAGGCTTAAAGTTCAGGTTACTAAGTACATTGTCCTCTCTACTGTAGCAGCTCGTGCTATCTGAGGCCTCTGGACATTGAACCCAATATCTCTTATTTGCTTTTGGTTTTGAACATAATTTTAAGGAGGTGGGAGAAGGAGTCTTGAACTTTTTTTCCCTTAAAGTTAGTCTTTTGCATTGGCATTAGGAGTTTGGGTTAGTTGATTGGTTATTTATTCATTTATTGGTACTTGGGATAGCACCCAGGACCTTCACACCAACCTATATCCCTATCCCTTCTTGAATTTTTTTAAAACATCAAACAAGATCTTTCTCATTTGTGCTAAACATGGCATTTAGAGTTTAGGAGCTTTTCTTTCATCAAGTTAATGTTAATTTATTAAAAGGGCAGTAGATTTGTTGATGTTTCTAATAAGCCCCTCTAGAACAGTGAAATGATAACGAAGGGGATCATGGTGTCCTTCAGACTTGTTCTTTTGCCTGGCCTTCATCAGATTTATTTAAAAATATAGCCAGGTGTGGTGGCATATGCCTAATCCCAGCACTTGGGAAGCTGAAGCAAGAGAACCCCATGAGTTTCAGGCTAGCCTGAGCTACATAGTGAGTTCAAGACCAGCGTGGACTGCACAGAGAGACCCTGCCTCAAATAAATGAATGAATGAATGAATGAATGAATGAATAAGCAGCCCTGAGCTGATCTTCAGAAATGGTTAGATCATATCCTTATGTAGTTGAAAACAGAAACTAATCAAAATCTGTATTTTTAGGTCAGCAGCACAGTGGCCATGGAAAAAGAAAAATTCTACAGCATATTTCCGAGGATCAAGGTGATTATCTTTTCTAATCTCTTACAAAGGTATTCTTCTAAGCATGTGTAAAATATAAGTAATCTTGAGAGTATGATGAACTCTGTGGTTGAAAGAGAAAACTAAGATAGCTGAGAAATAAAGGTGGAGTCACAGAATTTTACACTAGAGAAGAACTCAGTTATTTGCCTAAATCACTCTGAACTGAACTGAAATTCAAAGAAGTAAAGCTCATCCTGCAGTCATGCAGCAATGTGCAGAGTGCCCAAGTGTGTTGGACACTGACTGTGGTGCTGAGCAGAGCAGATGGTGTCTGCTGGTTCACAGTTTCCTCAGAGTCACTTGGCTGATGCCACAGCCACTCTGCTGGTTACTGCAGCTTGGGAATCATCCCTAGGTCTCCTACTGCTTTTGTCCTGTACCCCTAAGCCCTTTGACCACGTGGCTGCCAAACACTGCTTAATAGACAGAGGGAGGCTGGGGAACGTGGAGAGGGCAGTGGAAAGGAGAGAGAAGAAAGAAATGGATAAGGGAGTAGAGACACTGAATGTTCAGTAGCCTATCCCCAGTGCCAAGAACAGGACTTGGTAGGTGAATGCACAGTAAGTATATGTGGGACAAATGAACAGAAAAGACCAGGAAAGAGAAGACAGGCATGATGGTGCACATTTGTATCCCAGCACTCTGGGAGGCTGAGGCAGGAAGAGCACAAATTCCAGCCTATCCTGAGCAACTTAGAGACTTAAGAACATCCTGTCTCAAAATAAAGAATAAAAAAAGGCTGAGGAGGTAGCCTAGTGCAAAGGCCTGTGTTCAATCCCCAGTACTACAGAAAAAGGGGCAGGGGCTGGGTGAGGTGAGAAGTCTTTTGCAGTTTTTGTGATGACTGTTTATCACTTTGGCAGGGGACTTTAGGTTGCATATAGGCCTTCTACCCACTGCTTACTGTTCCTGACTTTTCTGATTACCAGCTCTTGAGATCACAGATTCTTAACTTGGGGTTTATAGCCGGGCTGTAGGAGTTTTAGGAACTCCTTGAAATTAAATGGGAAGATGTGCATTTTTCACTTTTTCAGGGGATCCATGACCCCTCATATGTCAAGATGCTCTGCTATTTAGGCCATAGCTAGGACTTTCTCCACATAGCAGCTTCAGATTTTGAAGCCTTTTAGTTTTTATTTTTGTTTTGTTTTCTAATGTAAACATTATGCTGGACTTTATAGAGCATGTACAACAAAGGTCCTATAGCTATTTTGGTGAATTATAATTACCTAGTCACATAGCTATGAACACCAGTGATTACAGAGGCTACATGAACCTTCCATGGGATACAGCTATAGAGACCAGAACAACACACCCTTTGAGACCAGATGTCAGCTAAGAAAAGCCAGACACTCCCCATTCCTGAAGGGTGTAGTGGAGACAGCCCGAACCACCAAGGTGCTGCAGTAACAGGGATGCCCCCACTGCATCTTTCAGGGATGGGGAGTGTCTGGATAATTCAGAAAGCAGTGATTTATCCATCTGTGCAGAAAGCCATTGCCTGGGTCTGGTGTTGCTCACCTTTCAGTTATGAGAACAGTATATGGTATAGCCCACATAGCTGTATGTTATGTGTTTCTTTTATAGGACAAGTCCAGAACGGGATCCTCTCATTCTTCTATCTCGGAAAAATCCAAAGCTTGTTGATGCAGAATATACCAAAAACCAAGCCTGGAAATCTATGAAAGTAATCAGCAAACATCTGACTAGAACTACAGCAGTGAACATTCTCACTCAGAGAACATTGCCGCCTGGGTAGAATCTGAAATTAGGTTTCTTCTCAGTGGTGAGATGAATGTAGAGCAAGTTCCACAAAACAGTATTAGCATAGATGTAAATTCTTCTATTTCAAACACACATTACTTTTCTGGCCATATTATGACTAATATATTATACTACTTTGGAGGTTTAAACCAGAGGTCAGAAGCTTTTTCTGGAAAAGCCAGGTAGTAAAGATTTCATCTGTGCAGGCCATGTGGTCTCCATCTTACTTAGTATTCTCCTCTGCTGTTGCAGGGTGAAAGCAGCTGTAGGCAACAGTTAAACAAATGAGCGTGCCTCTTTCCTAATAAAAACTTCATTTACAGTCACTGAAATTTGAATTTCATGTCGTTTTCACAGATCATACATAAGGTATTTTTCTTTTGCCTTTTTTGAAAATGTGAAAATGTTTAGTCCATGGGTTCTACAAAACCAAGTGAAGGGTTGTGATTGTAGTTTGCCAAACCCTGGTTTAAACTAATGGTTCTTAACCTTGGCTATAATAGTAAAACCAGAGAGCTTAAATAGTGAATCAGATGAATCTATGTCTGGAAGGCCAAGAATCTTCATTTCTTTAAAACATCCCAAGTGATTCTAAGGTGAAACCAGAAATTGAGTTTTTTAATCTGGAGTCTGTTTCTGTCCTCTGAACATGTTCCTACCAGCTTGAACCATCGGTGGTACATGCATGATTGTCCCATCAGGTGGAATTTTATACTTTTATTAGGAAAAAAGACCAATTAAAGTGACCAGATCCATTTGTACCACCAGTATTTCAAGCCATTCAGTGGGACAGTCATGCAGCAGTACCACCAGTGGTTCAAGCTGCCTGGCAGCGAGACATACAAATTACTGCCTCATTATGAACATGTTAAATCTATGACTTATTGCCTTAATTAACAGACTTAAAGCCCTAAATTTCCTCACCTGAAATTTCCATATATCATATGAAAATGCTATAAAAAAAGGTTTCAACTTCTTGGGAAAGAATTAAAGGTTTCTGATAAGTATCATTTGATTCAATTTTGAGCAAATGAGTTTAAAGAACTGTTAAATAGAAGTACAGAAAAATGCATTTAGCATACGAGTTATTAGTGTTTACTTAGAGGCAGCAAAAGCCAAGAAGAGGTACCGCCCTTGTCCAGCTTCCTGTCCTCTAAAGAGGGTAGACGGTACATGGGCTTTACTTCAATGCCCCCAGGTGCCAGCAGGTGAATGCAAGGAGTGAGCCAGAGAAAATACTTAACAGCTACAGTTGGTTGCTACCAAGTGGGAATAGTTTTTCAGATCGTGCTTTGTATTTTATTTTATTTTCTCCAAGAAAAATTGGAAATCTGGATTTTTGCAAGAAGTAATCCTGCCAGCCATAAATATTGGCAATCGTTTCAATATTTTTTTTAAAAATGCCCTCCATGCTCAGCAGAATTTGTGTGTGGGCTCTCCTCCTAAGCTCAGCAGCAGCCAGCACTTGTGACCTCTGTGTGTGTAATTTGCCCACAGTGAAGTGGGCTGCAGGTTGTGCCTTCTGAGTTCAAAGCATGAAGCAGCATGGCTTCAAGCAAGCTTAAATTCTAGTCAGACAGACCTGGGTTAAAAACCTTAATGTCGCATGACCCTGAGCAAGTTTCTTAACTTCTGGAAACCGTGGCTTCTCATCTAATTAATGAGAATAATAATGTCTCCTGAGTATGTTTATTATGAGGGCTAAATGAGTGTATGTTGCGAAAAGTTTAACAATGCTTGCTGCACATGGGTTGCCCATAAATGCTACCATTACTAATACCAATGACTTTTTCATTTAAAGGACACTTTGGGAAAACCAGCAGCTAAAGATGTTCATCTTGTGGATCACTGCAAATACAAGTATGACTTCCAGAGCTCCTCACTCTTAGTTTCTGTATTGCTTCTGAAATAGCTTCACTTTGGATAAGAACTTTAATACCAAGATCTGGCATGAATTCATTTAGCTGGCTTTTACTGAGGGCCTGTTGTGTACTGACCTAGGTTTTGTTGGGACTGTAGAGTGGAATGAAACAGGTTCCCTGCTTCTGGAGAGCTTGCCATTAATTAAAGTGCTGGGATTTTCCTTTTCCATATACCACCCATCCAAGAGTTGAAGTTAGGCTAAATATTTATCAGGTTAATAAATATAGTGAGGGGCTGGGGATGGAGCCCAGTGGTACAGCATGTGTTTAGCATGTTTAAAGTCTTGGGTTTGATCCTCAGCATGTGTATGATGTATAATATATATATGCCAGGACTAAGGATCTGTTAAGCATGTAAACAGGCATAGAGGGAAGTAGTGTAGGGATCCAGAGATAAGAATTCTGATTGCACACACAGTGAGACCTGTAGGGTAAGAACAATCCTGGAGACAGAGATGCATATGTGAGAAATGCTAAGAAGAAATGTTATTCTTTTCTAAGACAGTTTATTTTGTGTGGAAGGGGGGGGATGAGTGAGACAGGGTCTTACTACATAGTTGAGGGTGGCTTTGAACTGACATATAGCCCAGGCTGGCCTTTAACTCACACCAGTCCTCCTGCCTCAGCCCCCTGAATGCTGGGATAACAGGTTTATGCCAGTGCATCTGGCTAAGATAGCCTTTTTCCAAGGAGCATTTCTTTGAAGGTTGATTAGGTTAGGTCTATTCTCCCTTCATGGGAAGGGAAGAAGAAGGTGATGTCCAGAAAAAGAGATATCCTTGACCAGATGAGATACATTGGGAGGCTATGACTAGTTACAGATAATAGGCATAAACGGATACGCCTGTGACATTTTTTTTCTCTTATTTTTTTTTTAGTACTGGGGATCAAACTCAGGACCTTGCGCTTTTGAGGCAGGTGGTGGCACCACTGAGCTAAATCCCCAGCCCTTCACTCTTTTTTCACTCTTTTTTTTTTGGTACCGGGGATCAAACTCAGGTCCTTGGGCTTGCTCAGCAGGCAGCGAAACCACTGAGCTAACTCCCCAGCCCTCCGGCCCTTCACTTTTGATTTTTGATGTACATCATTGAACATTACTGTTTCTTCTCAAGTATGTCCAAATCTGCAACAGTCTATTATTTCCTTCTGAGTTTTATATGCTTTCCACTCATCATTCAGCTTCTGAACTTATCTAGCTCTGTCTGGAGAAAGTGTCCCTCTTTGTTTCTTACCTGACATTCCCAGAGCAACCTGCAGCCCCAGCCCTGGAAAAGCAGGAAGTTTGTGGAAGCCCCACAGAGGCATACAGATGTGTCCTGCAAAACTGAAAATGAGAAGGGGAGGGAGAGGAATCACAAGAGGAGGGTATATGAAAAAAATATTGTATTTGTGGCAGCAGGCATAAAGTATCCAAATGTATTTTGCTCTTTTTTCCCAGGTATCTGTTTAATTTTCGGGGTGTAGCTGCAAGTTTCCGGTTCAAACACCTCTTCCTGTGTGGTTCACTTGTTTTCCATGTTGGCAGTGCATGGCTAGAATTCTTCTATCCACAGCTGAAGCCGTGGGTTCACTATATCCCAGTCAAAACCGATCTCTCTAATGTCCAGTAAGTAGCTGTCCTTCAACTGAGAGTCTCGAATGACCTTGCAATTGGCTGCAGAGTCCAGCCATTTAAGGCATTTACTCTTTTTTTTAAAATTTTTTAAAAACTGTATTACTTTATTATCATTCACTAAACACACACATATACAAAAATTAAAATTATTCAAAGAAAAACAATGCAAGGGAAAAAAACTATAATAATATTCAAATATAGTAGAACTCAACCAAAGCAAAACTGAAAAGTGCTTAAAGATTTTTCCATATAATTTAAAAAAACATCTCCAGCATTAACTAGACATCGGAGGATGTGATTTGTTTTAGAAAGATTTTCAGAACTAATATTGAACAAATAGTGGTCTGGAAAAAAATTGTAATTAGCTAGTAGACTCCACATAGGCCAAATTTTTTTAAATTTAAATTTCAATAGTCATATGACATGTGATGGAAATATAATCTGAGAAATGTTATTAGGCAATTTCATCTGTGTGTATTGCAAAGTACCACACAGAGTGCCAACTTCTAAGTGCAAACTGAAAAGGCATTTACTTTTGATAATATTTTCCAGTGAAAGCTTTATTCCTATTTATTTGGTTTGCACATACTGAATAGTGATGCATTCTTATCCACAATTGCTATAAGTGGGATTTAATTTGAAAGTGTTTTCATGCTGGTTCCAGCGTAACATTCAGACAATATGAAATAAAAAGGGCTCTAATCTCTCAAAGACTAAAGGTAGGGATATTTCATCCTGTTATATTATCAGTGGGATTCTAGATATAACATGAAACTGACCCAAGTAAAGCTTACATTTCTTTTCATGATGGGAAGACATAGGAAGAGATACAGAGAAGGGCTAGAAATGTGATCCCAGTTCCCTATTCCGGGGGCTAGCACAAGAATTTGGAGATAGAATCTGCACACAGTGATGCATGCCTATAATCCAACCACTTGAGAGGCTGAGGCAAGAGGATTGCTGTGAGTTCGAGGTCAAGCCAGCCTGAACTATATAGCAAGATCCTGTCTCAAGAAACCAAAAGAAAAAAAAAGAATTTGGAGACAGGTTGGAAATGTTTTTTCATTCTTGAGTTTTTAGAATATCATTGAACATTTCTATTTTTTCTCAAATATGTCCAAAATCTCTAATTGTGAGACAGGGTCTTGCTAAGTTGCTCAGGCTGGGCGCAAACTTGCAGTCCTCTTGCCTCAGCCTCCAGAGTACTGGGATTGCAGGCGTGTGCCACCATGCCCCCAGCCTAAGTTTTTGTTGTTGTTATTGTTTTTTCCTACAAACACCCTAGTATCTTTACCTTAAAGAGATAATATACCATCCACATATGTAGAGATCAATCTATGATTTTTCTAACTTAGTATTAATGAGTTTAGCCTACATTTTAGGGTCTAATAATTCTTTTCATTTTAGGGAACTTTTGCAGTTTGTAAAAGCAAATGATGATATAGCTCAAGAAATTGCTGAAAGGTAAGCTGTGTTCGTTTTCCCTTTTTCTATTTTGTCACCCCTGCTTTTTTGGGGGGGGGGTACTGGGGATCGAATTCGGATCCTTGTGCTTGCAAAGCAGGTGGCAAAACCACTGAGCTAAATCCCCAGCCTCTGTTTTTGTTTTTTGGGATGGGGTCTTGCTATGTAGTTCAGACTGGCCTTGAGCTCACTATATAGCCCAAACTGGCCTCGAACTCACAGCAGTCCTCCTGTCTCAGCCTGCCAAGTGCTCAGATTATAGGCATGTGCCACTATGTCCAGTTTACTACCCCCTTTTTGCCCTCGCTAAAGTTACCTGGATATTGTTATCATGATAATATCCATTCATTAGTCTCATGATGCAGAGATAATTCAGAAATAAAGCTGCCTGGGAAAAAACGTACACATTCACATATATCCAAGCTGTATAAAAATGGACTGGAATTTTGACTTGATTAAGTACTTTTGATGATCATTGGCTGGTAATGTGTTTGTGTTTGTTTTTAAAGGAAAAATATTAAGTTCTATTGCTAAATGCATGTATATGGACATGATGATATAGGGCTGGTTCTGAGAGTCAAACGAGTCAATTCAGTATAAAGTACTGAGTACGGCTTGCTATAACATAGCCAACTCACATGAAAGCTATTATTTATTATACTAACTCTATGTTACACTATGCTTTTTTTTTTTTCGGTACCTGGGATCGAACTTGGGACCTTGTGCTTGCGAGGCAGGTGGTGGAATCACTGAGCTAAACCCCCGGCCTGAACTCCATGTTTTAAAATATTCATGTTACTCTTTTCTTTAGGGGAAGCCAGTTTATTATAAACCATTTGCAGATGGATGATGTCACGTGTTACTGGGAGAACCTCTTGACTGAATACTCCAAATTCCTGTCCTATAATGTGACACGAAGGAAAGGCTATGATCAGGTTATTCCCAAAATTTTGAAAATTGAACTGTAGCGGTCACAGGACCAGAGTCCTCTGTGTGGCAGCAAATCTCAGCTATGCTGTGGTGAAAAGCTTCCTGTGAGCATGGTACCTGTACCTTGAACACCTTTATCAAGCTAAGCATCTGTTTTCCTCAGGCTGCACCCACAGCAAGTCTTAGAGATCTCAAATGTGTGTAATACATAGATATGAAGCGCCTCAACTAGGGCTGAATAAGGAAAAGTTATGAGATGTGGATTTTGAACTGGATTTTACCTTTCATTTTCTAATGACAAGTCACAGCTTGTGTCTCAGATCAGCTACGTGTACATGTGCATCCCTGTGAAATTGAGTGTGTCTGTGTGTGATACCTTTTGTTCCATCACTCGGATCTAGTACAGCTCATTGGCACAATTCTTAAGTTATTCTAGAGTTCACTGCTGTTCCTTTATTTTAATGTAGAAATCCTCTGGGATTTGGGAAAATACCTGGGCCGCAGTTCCTGAAGGCTCTAAGGAAGGAGTAGCTGTGTCACGCAATGATGTAGGAGTTCTTTTTGTAAAAGTATACACTCTGGTATGCATGAGGTTTCTATAGTGCCACATAGAAAGGGCCAACTGCATGAGTAACTATTGCAGTTGGATTTTAAGTTCTTTTTCTGTGCCTTCACACCCTTCTTTTTATTGTCTCTGAAGGACAAAAAAAGACAAAAACTCATTGATAAATTTAGGAAGTGGTCTTCATTCTTTAAAAGAACTCTGGTTAAAAGAGCAGCTCTTCGCACATCTTAATATTTTTCCTTATTAAATTGATAGAAACAGGGCAGTCTCAGTGTTGTGCAGGGATCACACGGAATCTCTGTGTGAACTCATCAGGGTGGTAATTTAGAGCATCCGGTTTTTACATTCACTTATACATATTTGTTTATTTTAGTTGTTGAGGCTTTTTCTCTCCCTTTTTCGAAAATGATATTTGGACAGTAGTTTACTAGATGTTCTAACAGTAAAAAATGAAGAAACATGTTTAGATTAAAACTCTAGTTCAGTGACTTAGAACCATTCTTATCCCTTACATTTAACATTTCTACAGAAAAATTAGCTCTTTTCTTTTGGCTCTTGAGAATTGTTCAGTGTTAACAAATTTCGAAATTAGTAACTGTAAGAATCCCATAAAATCAGATTTTATTTAATGTGTCAGAAACACGTTTGGCTCTTTAAGTCTAAAGACTTAAAAAGAGATACTGAACATCACCCACAAGATCATTGCATTCAAAAGGCAGATGTTTAAAATTGATTCTTCTGCTTGAGTACTAACAAGTTCCATGGACCATACCTGTGAGTACAAGTACAGTGAGAGGCAGTCCAATTTTCTCAGTTATGCTGTGGTTTTGCCTTAGCACTAGAAGGCCCTATGAAACAGAATCCTTTGCTCCACATTTTAATTTCCCTTTCACTAAAATAAGAACAAAATTAGCTCTCCTTAAGGAATTGAAGCTTCATTTCCCTGGGAATGTTTCCCATTTTGTTTTAGGTTGCAGCTTCTGTCTGACTCTGTCTTTCATTCTTCCAGGCAGTTAGGGGCTACCATAATACTTTCCTTGTGCCAGTATTTTATGATAATACATTTTAGTTATTTGGCTATTTCTATTCTGTGAGCTTAGTGATAGGTAGGAATCATTATTTACTCATCTTGATGTCTTCATTATCCAACATAGTGCCTCACACAATAAGTACTAAAGAGCTATTGGAGATAGTGGGATGGATGGGTGAAGACAGCTGGCATAACAGGATCCTCTTTGTAGATTTTCTTGCCATTAGCGCCGACGAGGAATTGGATAATCTGTCCAAATCCTCATTTGTCGTTCAGAGTCAATCAGGACATCTTTGTCTTTAAATACAGCAGAAGTTGCTCAGATTTTGTACTTACCTGTTTACCTCAGTGTAGATGGTATGAGGATTGTGTGTAATAATATGTAAAGTGTTTATTTTTGAAAATAATTTGTATCTCTACAACATGTGAAGGGTTTTGTCATCATTAATACTTGCTTAATCCCAAACTTACCCTTTCTGCCTCAAAAATTCATTCTACTAATGGAAAAGGTTTATGTTGTATATACTACAACCAAATGTAATGCTGTATATATAGCAAGGGCTGCACCTGGTGAACTTGGCAGAGAGGGGGAACCTGCTGCTCTCTGGGAGGAAATTCACTATGGAAGAAGCTTTATAAGCAGGACTCAACCAGGACTGGGGTAGGATGGTGGTTCCAGGCACACTGTGGTGACCACTGGAATCCTTCCCTGATGGAGTTACTCTGCTGGCAGATACATGTCCTGAGGATGAGGAAGCTGTATGTGTCACATACTGGTCCAACTAAATACTAACAACATCAGACCATGGGGCAGCGTGGGGGATTATCCCTAGTAAAAGAAGCCCTGATGGTTTACGGAAGTGGGAAATATGGAAAGGTGAGTCTGAGGCTAGACCATGAACAGTGTAGGTGTGCACCACCACTGTCAGCATTCAGGAGGCTGAGGTAGGAGAATTGCCATGAGTTTAAGGCTGGCTGGGTCTACACAATTCAAGACCAACCTAAACTACATAATGAGACCCCGCTCAAAAGAAAAAAAGGAATGGGGAGTTTCTTGAGGTATGAAATGGGATTACAAATGAGTCGCCATTAACCCAAAGGAGAAAGCAGCTAGACTTAGTGAAATTTGCCTGTCAATATAATGATACTTGTGTCTAAGGCTAGACAGACCTGAGGATATTTGAATTATTTGTAAATAATTTCACAGTATCTGCCTTACCTCCATCCTGCCCCATGCTAAGGCCTCCCTTATCCCAGAATCATTCTGAGGTTCTCTTTAGCATTTTAAGCACTTAGCTTTTTCTTCATGTAGGCTAGACAAGCACTGTTGGGCTTTCAGATCCTAAGACCTTATCCTGATGCCCACTTCTACCTAATACTGGATAATCAGCAAACTAGAGGGGATTGTCTTAAAACAATTATTTTTTAGTAGTACTTAAGATTAAACCTAGAGCTTTCACACTGAACTACATCTCCATCCACCATACCCCCTTTAAAATTTTTGAGACAAAATAAAATAAAATTACATATAAAAAAAATTTTTTTTGCATCAGGGCTTAAGTCACTAAGTTGCTCAGGTTGGGCTCAAACTTGTGACCCTCCTGTCTCAGCCTGGGATTACAGGTGTGCACCACCACACCCTGCAATTCAATATTTACTGAACACCTGCTTCATGTCAGACACTGGTAGGCCCTAGAGATAGAGATAAGTATATGTGGCTTCTAACTTCAAAGATCATTGAACAGTAAATTATGCTGCAAAGCAGTGAGTGCTATGCTAGATGCACAGTCTATTTGTGCCCCAGGCATCCATCAAGAAAACCTCCGTGGCAGTTACTGATTGAGCTGGTCACTCTAGTCAGGCATTGCTCTGGGCTTTATCTATGGAATGTCCAGCCATCAATTCCCAGCATTGTGTACTGTATTACTAGGAGTCGTGACTCGAAATTATAACAAATAGGAGTCACAGTGAAGGGACTGGCCAAGAGAATAGGGAATGTGGTGACTAACAAGGATTAAGTGAATTTACACAAACCAGTTGAGAGAATTGTGAATGAGTGCGTTTTAATGAAAATAGACCTCGAAGCACTTGTTAGCAGAGGCTTATTAAGTAGTGACAGTAAATTATTGCTGGGCTACCAAATATTTCACTGACATTCCTGAAATTTTCTTGCCTCCTGAGAAACAGTCAGCATATGAACTAAGAGTAAAATCCATTTTGTGAAAAACTGCCCAAAGCTGATCAAAAAAGGGTGTCCAAATCCTGGCCCCATCCGCAGCCCAGGAAGCTTCTCCAGGGGGTTGGGCTTGTTTCTGCGCCAATACTTTCTCTTTCCGCGCAACACTTGCATCAAATACTGCACCTTCTTCTACGTGGAATTTCTGGCATCTTCGGTGCACTTACTTGTTACTGTGACCAATTCAAGCACAGGGGTACCCACCCAGTCGCCGTTTACTTAGGCCCAGAGAGCCAGAAGACATCGAGGAAAGACTAGTCCTAGACCCAACGACACAGGACGCGCCCGCCCGCTGCTAACTCACTTCCGGGGGCAGCTCTGGTCCTAACCGGAAGTGCTTTCTGTGGCTCCTTTTTCGCCCCGCCCGTTAGCCTTTGCCCTGATGGGGCGGGGCTTCCGGTCTCGTGTCCGGGGAAGACCCCGTGCCGGCTACAGGGACGTCTAGTACTGTGAGGCGGACCGATGCGCAGATTAGGGGTGTATTTTTTGCACGTGGACTGACTGACTCGGGCAGTTATCTCCACTATCCTACGGCACCTAGACGTGTCTTTCCGCAGGTCGGGAGGGGGCCATGGAGAGGCCGCCACCGGCGCCGCGCCCCCTCCTCGGGACGCTGGCTCCTTTCCCCCGGGTCTTTGCTGCCGGAGCTGTGGCTGCGGATTCCGAAGCAGACGGGAAGTCTCAGAAGCTGCCTTACTATATCCCAGAACCCTGCTTTCCGGAATCCGGATGGGACCGCCTCCGGCAGCTGTTTGTCAAAGAGTAAAAGTGCTCAGGGACCGTGGGAGGGCAGCAGGAGGCGGTGGTGAGGTTTAAGTGAGATTTGAGGTTCTGATGTTAGCGCCCCGCCTTGTATCCTGACGTTGCCATTTGCTAGTTGGTTGGCAGGCGGGTTTTTGAATGGTGGAGGTCAGACTCATTGCAAATTAGAGCTCTGAGAGATGCTTAGGGAATATAGTCCTACGGAAATTTTTACAAATGAAAAAAGTTGGCCCAAGCTAGTTATTGTCTTGCAGAGGCCACGGAAACCTGTGTCTGTAGAGAAAAACTACAACGTATTTGCTATTTCAGGTCGATCCTAGACTTCGGTGTTTGTGATTACGCCTTCCTTTTCTGCCTACCAAAATGAAGTTTGAGGAGGCAGACATAGTTAACAATTTTTAATTTTGTCCAGTAAGGAATTAAAAATAACAGCAACTAGGCCGAGGATTTAGCTCAGTGGTTTCGCCGCCTGCTGTGCTGGCTCAAGGACCCGAGTTCGAACCCCGGTACTCCCCCCCAAAAATAACAGCGACTATTGTCTAGATCTTTTTCGGTATTGGGGTGACATACATGCTAGGAAAAGCATTCTAACAGCCACACCCCCATCTGTTTCTCATTTTATAGAAGAAAGTTCGAATTTAAAATAAAAGATATTCAGAATAAATAAGAATCCTTTAAATTTAATCTTTTATTTAGTAAAAATTCAAGATGTTTAATTCCTTCGTTTATTAATTACCTTTTCATAAAGTAATTTATGAATTGATAAATTGCCTTTTCATAAAGTAATTTACTGTACTACCCTGTTATCAAATTGTTATAAATAAGAATCCTTTAAATTGAATCTATTTTTTAGTAAAATTTCAAGATGTTTAATTTCTTCATTTATTGCCTTTTCATAAAGTAATGTACTGTACTACCCTGTTATTAAATTGTTACAGGTGAGTGGGCCAAAATAGTCTAGGCTCTTGTGTACAGCAAAGAAAGAACAGCCAAGCATATACCTGTAGTTAGTAGTTACGTTTATTGAAGATCTTGGGATTGTAGCAGGAAGAAGACCTCTCCAAGAGCCTGCACACAACTCTGCCTTCCTGTATTTAAAGGGAAGACACCCCTAATTCAGGTGCTCCCCATTGTGGTCAGACACGTGTGATTCCAGGTGCCTCTCATATTGTCTCTCACTGGTGTCGGAAGTAATGGTCTGCCGCCTTGGGCATCAGGATGGCCTAAACTTACATGGATAATCCTTATAGTGTTGCTGCATCCGCAGATGAATGAAGGGAGAGGAGTGGCTCATTCAGTTTCCCTGTTTCTGACTGTATCAGAGTGATTAAAGATGAAGCTTTATAATGTTGCCAAGATAGGCCAAGGGAGCTACAGACTTGTATTTAATTATTTTACTTAGGTTTCATCATCTTTGTTTTAAAGCTAATGAAGCAGTGACACATGCCTGTAATCCCAGCTCCTCAAGAGGCAGAGGAAGGAGAATCGCAAATTCCAGGCCGCCTGAGCATCTTTCTATTTTTCACTAAGTTTATTGGTACATTTTAGGTGTACAATATGACATTCATCTTTGGGAGTTTGTACCTTTACATGATATGTCTTGGTTCTTATTTTTTCCCCCATTCCCCTGCCCTCCCTTCAACCCTTCCACCCCTCCCTATTTACAAAGACTGTTTCCATTTTTTCCTTTTCTCATATTTTTTCCTTTCCTCATATTTTTTCCTTTCCCTTACCCCTGCCACTTCCTCTTCCCCTTTAGACCTTTTCTTCCTGTTCCACATTGTCTATTATACATTTTGATTCTTATTTACACTTTCAGTTTCTCACACCAGAGAAACTATTCGGTATTTACACATGTCCTATTTATTTCACTTAAGCCACCTGGGCATCTTTTTTTTTTTTGGTACCTGGGATCAAACTCGGGTTCCTGCGCTTGCGAGGCAGGCGGCGAAACCACTTAGCTAAATCCCCGGCCCAGTTTTGTCTTATTTTTGATTGACCTGTACTGCTCACTGCATAGTGAGCTTTCAACGTGTTTATTAATAAATAGGGTCTTGATGTTTTCTACATCCATAGTTTCATTCTTTCATACATTGCACTAACATCTCATGAGTTTGTATAATTTCTGTAGGTTAATATTCAAAAAGAATATGGTTAGGGGCTGAGGATTTAGCTCAGTGGTGCTGCTGCCTGCCTCACAAGCACAAGGTTCCAAGTTCAATCCCTGGTACCAAA